CAATTTCCTAGGACTGCGACAAACGGTGTATCGATGAGTTACGGTTCAATCTTTTATGATGAACACTTAATAGAATGTTGTCGCTAGAAATGGACTTAATTATTATAGCAAGGTATTGGGTGCGTTGATTGTATTCTTTTTTAACAGTGAACATTATTTGTTTATGCGCATGGTAGTTATTAAAGATGCAAAAGAATATAATTCGGTCTCCTGGTGGGATTGGGAAAGTATGGAAGTGTCAGTTTTATACCTGCAGTGGAAAATGAATTTGATGTTAGTCTGTAGATCATGAAAGATGTTGTTTTAGAAAGATTAAAGTAGGTTTAAGAAATTGTTACGCTAGAAGTATAGTCAGTGGATGCGCCATAACGCTGAGACAAAAGCTGCTTTCGAATTCAAATCATGGAAGGCACCTCATTCCGCACACAATGTCCATTTCTTTAAGTTTCCAAAAAACTGACCTACTAAAACCTTATCACTGATGCAGTTTTCCTGGCCATTGACAGAATCCTTTGCATAGGCTTATGTTTCGCCTCTCATTATTCTAGCTGCATTTGAATTTGCGTCTCTTCCTATGAGAATCATAGGAAGTAATCCCACCAAACCGATCTACACGATATTATGACATAGCTTCCTTGCTCCTAGATGGTTATATGGTCTTTTAAGCATCAACAATGTTTTCAGGAAGTACGTTACAATATTCTCCTTGCTGTGATTCCATTAATTTCTGTTTCTCTTTGTAGCACTGGAACAGCACATTTGGAACGGCCCTGTGCCTCCTGTGCGAAAAAAGCATTTAAAGAAGTTGTCATCGCATGGCACGGCAGAGCATCACAACGTCTGTTATATTTCGACGGACACAAAGCCAAGGGAAGCCGTTCATTACCCTGTCGAGCTCAATCCTTTCCCCGAAAACAGCATAGAAGACACAGCCACCAGCTCCGAATACGACGACTCGTTGAACCCATTCAGGGATGACCTTGGCAGCGACGGTGAGTCGCTCGGCTCACAAACCACCGCCACTGACGACAGCCATTTGGCAGACGGGTGAGCGTCGGCGTCCGTCTCATTTGCTGTCCGTTCCTAAAACCTTTTGATACCAAGGAATAACTGCATTGTTCGTGACCCGGTATGCATATTGAAAACATGCAAACCGCTGTTTCTTTAGCATGACAGTATCTACGATTTATCTTGAGCTGTTTCATCTAAGACCGATAATCAAAATTCTGAGAATGAGACTGCTGCCGCTAACGACATGAATTTAGAATCATTCGAGTATTATTGACATCGAGGTTGTAATAGTAATAGGCAGAATTCTTCTAACTTAGGCGTACAAGTTGTGCATCTCGAAAACCTTTGGGTTGTGTTTGGATTAACATTGAAATGATATAACGACGATGTAGCCAAATGATATAAAATTGAAATGAAATGGTGATGTGAATAGATATGCGACGAGTGCGTGTAACGTACCAATAGTCAGTATCATGAAAGGAAAAGGGTTGTAACCCATGCAATATCGGTCTTCCCTACACTTTCATAATGGGACCATTTTTTCTCCATTTCAGTGCCATCAGCCATGAGTGCATTGTTTTAAAGACACAATCGGAACAGCTATGCGGCAAGCATAGCAACGTGTGTAGTTATCTGGTTCCTTCCCGCAGAGTGTTGTTTATTAACTTCGGAAGGCGAATTACCTTAACATTGGTTCGAACCCGGGATCTCGCGGTTCTGAGTCTGACACTCTGCGACTGAGCAACCCTAGTCATATTCAAAATGCTTTTGCAACATGAATTTCTTTGTCACAACAGTCCGCAGTCGCACTATGCACTAAACTGATCATTTAATGCAGTCGGCTACTGTGATTTAAACTGAACATTCAGGTCACTTGTATGCGAACAATGCGTGATGAATCTCACTTTTTAGCCCTTCAGCCGGTTTGTGCATAACAGTGCATATGTAAATCTAAGTAATTTGAAAACTGATCGCACAGCCGTAGAAATCAGTCTGTGAAAGAGAGGAGTCATTGAAATTTAGAGACAAATATTTTGATGAAGATTCTAAACAAAATTTCATTTAGATTAATGACTGTCA